ACTTTGTCAGCCAAGATACGGCTAGCACGTATCTCTGCTATTCGCAGTTCCAACAGTTCTGTTATTAAGACCGTTTCATTTACTTTAACTTGAGTAGTAGCAGTACTTGTTGAATCGTTGCTAAATCAGAGTATTTAGATCAAGCAATTTGTTGCCTTCCTTAGATTTTCTCTGGTCGGACCCTAATTCACAGTCACCCTTTACAACCATGGAGGTGCATAGCCTACCATCGACAGTTGATAAGGCTTGGAGGATACATCATCGGATCAGAGGACATACTAAGCTTTTGCTAAGTTATTCAAAGCCATCACAAGAAATTTAATGCTAAGATCTCTAGTGCTAGTGCTTGTACAGCGACCGAAATCACTGAACAGGGTTCCAGGTGAACAAGAATCATTGGCCTTGTATTAATGAATGAGCGGTTAATTTCATCAGCAAGCTGTGGCTGAAGAACATGTTCACGTATTAGCTCTAGAATTACAAAGTTGTACTAAAGGGAAGCATTAAATACTAAAGTGGCTTCCATTAAACATGAGTCTCTGTTAGGCAACATAGAAAATGGATTTTCAATTGACATTGAATTTCAGTTTTGATATTGATCGTTGCAACAGTTAAAGATTATAAAGATGATTCACAACAAATCCTTTCAGCATTTGCATTATATTTGAGAATAAAGCACAATACGAAAGAATTGGAATTGAACATTCACAACTTTTAGCTTCGAAATAAAAATAACACTGGACGTTCATAATTTAGTTTCATAGTTGATTCAGTGAAGATTAATTAGACCCGATTTCAATGTTATATTGTGCTTCCACTATGAGTTATTCATGATTCAGTTCCAGAAAACTTAAACTTCATTTTATGACTTAAAATACAGAAAACTCGAATGGAAATGTTGTTTTTATTTCCTGATGAAGGGAAACTAGACTGCTCAGCTCCAGACTAAAAACGCTTGGGAATTTGCTTTCTACTGAATCCAAAGTACAATAAGAGAACTTTTTTCAAAATGAATTTCTCAAAATTACTGTTGATACCAAGCCTTTGACTCGATCAATTACATAGAGTTCAAACATGATTTCCCAATGTCTTTATAGCTTGATTTTATCGAATTACATTAAATTTTCTTTCTCTTTTGTTCCGTTAGTTAATTTGTAGTTGATGACAGTCACTTGTTAATATGCTAATTAAAATGTGTTGATGACATTTTTTGTTGTAAATTTTTTCTCATTAAAATACTCTCGAGTTGTGTTTGATTGTTCACTGGCAAAACATTTTCATCTCTTTTCAAATGAACAACACTTTTCTGTTCAATATAATCATTTTTTACCAGAATCACTTTAAAGCAGCTAAATCATATTCACTTTACTGATTAATATTAATAAGCTTTCCCTTGTTACATTTTACCGAGAAAAAAAACAAAAACAATTTAACTTTCATGGTTGGGGAAAATGGAAAAAACTGAGATTCTACAAAAATTCAAACTAATCATGATGAATATACCATGATATCGTCTCATCAATTGATTCAATAATAAAAGCCAAAAAGTTGAACTTGAATCAAGAGTTAAATTGTATCAAAATGTAATCGAAACAAATATTCAAATTGAAACTCAGAAAATTGTAATCAAATTAGTTGATCAACAATGAAACTTTTCCATGATAAAACTTCATTTCACGTTCTTCGAGTTTTGGAGAAAAGTGAAGCTTCTAAACAAATGAATTTAAAGCAATTGATTGATTCTCTTGATAATAATTGTACGTTTGTTGAGTTACGAAAAAAGTTTAACCGTCAACAAATTTTGTCAGATCATTCATCATAAATGTTTTTCATTATTTGGCCTTTGATCATCATTATCATCATCAGTTTCATCCTGTTCATCCCAACGACAAAAGTCAATCACGTTAACTTTAATCGCAGGTAAAGCCGAGTCTTTGAATCTTCTTTTGTTTTCTTTCGCCAACTTTTTCTTCCTCTTCATCATTACCAGTTAAACCCTTTTTCCTCTGCATCATCACGTACCAATGGAATTTAGAGAATCTCAAATCCTCAGCGAAATAAGATTAACTGTTTTCATGATGGATGAATTTACTATCCAGTATCCATGGCTGTGCAAAAAGTAATGATCGATTGACGAACTTCCAAGTCAGGAGTCAGTTTCATGAGTTAGCATAAAATGATGGAAGCGAATAAATGCAATTTTGGCGAAAAAATTCTTTTCGATTCTTATTTCGATCTTTCATTCAGTTCAATTTATTCATTAAACTCTTTTAATATGCACAGTTTTTCCTCTTCAAAGGCATGAATTTCAATTGCAACAAATTTCGAGAGAAAAAATTATCTCTTAATGATTGAGTAAAATTTTATTCATGATCAAGATTCAGATTTTCTAGAAATCATTTTCTTCTCTTCAAAAGTTTTCTTGAAATTTTTTTCCAATCCATGAAGTTTTACCATGAGATTTGTAAGAATGTTGTAAAAAGAGTAAATGCTCATTTTCATGGAAAGAGAAACGAAAAGAATTTTCAAGATGAAATGTTCATTTTTGGTGAGATTTATAGATAAACAGAAAATGCATAAAATTGTTGGACAATTGATTCTTTTCTCGACTTTTTTTCCCTTCTAAACGACTGTTTTCATCATCATCATTCTGATTCTTGTTTGATCATTTCCAGTGTAAAGATAATGCACCATTGTTGAACATGAATCTGAATGGACATGAGAGTGAAAACTCATTGATTCAGATCAAGTCAATGAACAAGTTATCATCAGATTAAATGTCAATAATGATGATGATAATTGTGTCCAACTGTAACATGTGAAGATGGAAATGAAAGGAAAAGGGAAAAGTCGGGAAAAGGCAAAACAAGGAAAGTAAATGTCAAAATAAATGTTGGTTAATTGTTAATCAAATCAAAGTTATGAAAAGAAATGAATTTCCATCAGAAGAAGAAAGTTAAATTGCGATGAAATTATCAACTAATCGCATTCAATCATTTTCCCTGAAATCAACTGAAATCGAATCAATACATTTCTCTATTTTATCGAGTTCATTCGAAATGAGAATTCGTTTAAAGACTTATCATTCCAAGTGTTTTTTCAACTTTTAAAGTTATTCCAAGGCTTGCACATTAATATCAAAGTTTTGTCCATCTTTTAGTATCGTTAACAGCAATTAGACTGCAACTTGTATTGATTTGTTGACCAAGAGAAGAGTTTTAATGAGAAATTAATGGTTAACTGAATAAGCATGAAAAGAGATTCAAGGCAATCAGGGAAACAGAACAGTGAACATTAAAAGCTCTGTAAAATTGTTAAACCCGCATAAATCACAGAGAAAGAAATGAAAGTTCATGGGAAAAAGAAGTTTCCTTTTTAAAGAAAATAATGAAAATTGGAAAATTGGCATTTCTGAATTTGACAATTTCATTAATAAATTAGCTCGAAACCATTGTTGCAATTAGAGTTGAATCTTTAGTAGAATCCATTTCAAAGATACAGATTCAAAGATGTAGTTCTTATGAACAAATTGTATGGACAAAGGGTTTGAAACAGCTATTCAGCTTTTTGTAGCGACTTTTTACTTTCGCGAAAGTTGATCAACTTTGTTTGAAAAGCCTGAGTTTAAAGTTGAAATTAATCAAAGCTCAAAATGCTTCAAAGTTCTAATGATTTGTCACTTTCTGTGCAAATTCTTAGTCTGTAATGAAGAACATTCATCGTTTGGAGAAAATGAATTTTTGCATTTTATTCTCATTGACTTGAGCTGAAATTTGGACAATTTCAAGTTGATTTGAAAAGAAACTTAGAGTCGATTGATTGCTTTTCCTTTGTCAAGTTAAAGTTGAAACTATTCTGACCAATATCAATGTTTTCCTCGAAATTTGTTTCCAAACTAATTTGCATTATTCTGTTCCTTTCAATGAAAAGTTATTCATTTCAATATTGACTGAAAGTAGCTTTAGTTGATTTTATGCGAATTACAATTTTCCTCTTTGATCGTAAAAAATTCAATCTGTTTTACCACCTTGCTTTCATGCTAATCAGGTCATTTATTTTGTCAAATGTACATCGCATTAAGCGAAAGATTGTCCATAATTCAATTGCTAGACCAAATCGAATGTCAAAAATTGGAAAAACTTGTAAACTTTATTTTCCCTTTTCAATCTATTCCATCTCATTTCACCTGATGATGTTGCTCGTTCACTGATATTGTAACACAAAAGAAACGCAAAAAGTGAACCAAACAAGGCGATCATTTTCATTCTCAAGTCGACATTATTCAAAAACTGTGATGAAAGTGATGCTTTTGATGTCATTGAATAATCCAAGTTAAAGTGTCGTAAAAGGACAGAAGAAGAAAAGATGAAATCTTGAAATTGGAAAATGTTAATAAAAGAATATTTCAAGATTCATTCTTTTAAGAATATTATGTTAACAAGAAGCACATTTCAATGGATTGCGAGTAAAACTTGATTAAAAGAGATACATTTATTGTTATTATCTTTTCTCCTTTCAACATTTTCTTGCGAATAAAATATTGCACAAAAGGTCCATTCACAATTTATATTCACAACAATTTACTCTAACAAGAACTTTTACTCCATGGGTTAACATTTCTCTGAAATTCTCATGATATTTATGCATGCAATTTTGTTGTTGCTACAAAATATTCAACAGTGAAAAGAAGAATCCGAATTTGAAAGAAAAGAGAAAAAAGTGAATTTCTTTTTATTCTCCATTCTATTCATAAAGAAACATTTTCACTCAACAAGACATGGAATTAATCTTATGGATAGTTATACATTCATACAACACATTATGTTCAACATTTAGTTTGACCAGTTTTGAGCAAAAAATGGAAAAAAATTGTTCGAAAGTTGCATCAATGTTAATGAAATGTTGAATTCAAGTTTTGTTCAAATTGATCAGTTTTTAATGAGACTTGGATATTTTTATAATTTTGACCTTTTTTCTTCTTCTCTTCTATTCTTGTGCAGATATTGTTAAACAAGATGATGGTTTCATTGAAGGACCCAGTTTTGTTTCACTCCCTTCATTTACTTCCTTGTCTAATGGACAAATCGATTTTTACAATTCTACTGGATTAACGTTGAACTGCAAGGCCAATGGACTTCCCAGACCATCGATTAAGTGGATAAAAGGATCAACTTTATCAGCTTCATCAGCTTCATCATCAATAACATCGAGCTCCTTTAATCAGCCAAATGATTCATTTGTTGAGGTCAACAATGTTCCCGGATTGCGTTTCCTTCGGTCAGATGGATCACTTGTTTTCCAACCATTTCCAGCTAATCAGTTGCGGCAAGATGTTCACCTAACATCGTACCAATGCATTGCCTACAACAAAGTTGGCTCCATCATTTCACCCGAATTTCATATTAGAGCAAGTAAGAATATCAAACCTTCCAAATTAAACCTTTGCCTTTTCAAGAGTTAAACTGATGGAACATTTTCTAATTCAATTCAAGTATCAATGATTTAACTGCAAATTCATTGATCAAAACTGAACAAGCAAAACAAAATTCCCAATTCCTGTCACTTTTGATGGCAATTGACATTCCGTTGAGCACAAACTAACGCTAACCGATGCAAATAATTCCTTTCGAAACGCAAACACGAGTGTAAACCCACATTATCGCTTAGCATTTGCAATGCAGCCTAAAATCGCAGAATAAAGCCTCAAAATTGAAAAAAACGACAGAAGTTTCTCTTACTCAAGTTTTTCACCTATGAAATTGACAGTCAACGACTCTCATTTTTTCGTGAAGTAAATTTTCATTCAAAAGGTAAAGAGCATCCACTGCAAGTTTGCAAATTCATTGCTAAAAATAAGATCAGAAATTCAGTGGAATACTTGAACGAAAGATGACAGACGCATTTATGTTGAAGTGTAAAAGCAAATTGAGCTTAATTAGCATTCTTGCAGTTACATTTGCTAATTGTTAATTAGCAATGAAAACATTTATTATTAGATTAATCGTTGCAATCATCAACAGAATATTATTATTACGCAAATATAATATTTATAACCATGATGACGCCCTTCAATATACTCTTCATTAGCAGCATTGAGATCGGTTAATTCAAGCCTTGGGTGTGTTTAATACTTGATCAATTGAAGGTTTCCATCAATTGATCACTTTGATAACTTTTACTTTTGCGCCACTTGAATGTCAAACCGATCTCGACTTCCATTCAAGTCACATGCTTTTAATAACATAATAACCAAAATGAATGTGAATGGTAATAAAAATATAACATTTTTTGCTCATAACTTTGTTCCTTGTTTCTGGTCTTTTCCCTTTCAACTTGTCCCTTAAAGCAAAGTTAATCATCAAAATACATAAAGAGACTCATCACTTCAAGTTAATGTCCACAGTTATAAATGCATGTGCCGCTGACCTAAAATTATGATGACCAGTTCCGAGTCCAGCATTACATTTTCTCTTCTCACATTTTCTCATCATTATCTCTTCCAACCTCATCATCGTCATCATGTTCAACTTTATCCCAGGCTAAAGAGAAAAGTCATAAATCAGTTAACTTGAAGATACTTTTTGCTCTTTTATTGATAATAATGCGAACGAAAAGAGAATGTTATTTGACATTGGATGAGAAGAACGATGAAGAGAAGAAGAAGAAGAAAATTTCCACTCGGATTAAGGGGTGAACTGTAAATGTGATTAATTGACTTAAGACCAATCAACTCTTCTTCTTGCTCATCATCTTCAATTACATCTCAAGACTCTTTCACTTCATTTCATATCAACTATTATTTTGCTCCAATGTCTCTTCCCATTAACATTCCCAATATCCAAATATCAATAATTTGCGAATCAATCATTTCTCACTTTCCACCTTCCCAGTCAGACTTCACTCATCAAACCAAACATGAACCAAATTAACAACCTTAAAACACAAAACTCTATTCGAAGTGATTTCCGACAAAATTGCTTTTCATTAAAACTGTTAATTTTCTAGTTCTATTGCTATTGACAGCGAGCTTTAATTTACAATTAAACTTGACTTTTGCTTTCAATTTGATGTTGTCAATGAGTCTCAGAATGTTTTGGAGTTTTGTCAATCTTTCAAACTTTGTCTTTCATTTGTAGCAATACGAAACATTACCTCGAGGGATTGCTGCTCTTCAAGTCGCTATTTTAAACACTTTTTGTTTCTCTTTTTCACTATTCATGAATACATCCGACTGTATATTGCAATTTCAGACTATTTCAAGTGATATTCTGTTATGTGCAACTTTGTTTCACTTGTAAAAGTCTGGAAAAATGTTGCTTGTGGAAGAAGGCAAGAAAAGTTCATCAATATCAATTGAGTCCAGTAAAGTTGAATGCTCAACTTGACTAACCATTGCAAGTAGAGTTAAATAAATTATCACCAAATCGTAAAAACTTTTCTCGTTTTTCCTTTTCTTTATATTGACCAATTTTCCATCAATAAGTTCAATCAATCTGATCAAAACTTGCAGATGGTTAAAGTTTAATCCACTTGATTGACCTTCAACTAATTAGAATCGTCAAAACTATTTTTAGCAGAAAACCCAAAAACTCGAAATTCATTACAACCAACTGCAAGTCAACATCAAAGCTCATCATAAAGTAAACAAGCGATCCAAATTGTTTGAAACTTTCACTTCATCAGCTTAATGAAATCGAATCGAGACTTTTGCTAAAAAAACTTCAGAGTTCTTGACTCGAGAAAATGTCTCAAAAGCTAAATGCTATGAAAATTGAAGAGAAACTTATTTTAAGCATTGGAGTTGAACTTAAAAATAGCAAAACACTTCTGTAATTAATTTCAAATTAGTTTGAGTGTTCAATTGTTTCACTTTGTGTACAACAATAAGACTAATTTTTGCCTAAGGATGACAAGTTTAAGTAGCTAACTTAATTTAATTGTAATTCTGTCTCCTTGTTCAGCTTGATTCACCATTAAAGCATGTTCAACATGATGTTAATTGTAGATGCAAGTGAACAACATTCAACTCTTTCCTCCTTTCAACCGTTAATCAATCTTCAATTTCACTGCCATTTAGCTACTCATCGGTTTAATCAGTCAAACCTTTTGTTTGAAACTTTAAACATTTAACCGTGAAAAGAGTGACGAATGACATTAACAACCTGAACAAGTTAACAGTTGAACTTGAAAAAATGGATTTCAAGCCGATTCCGTTGACGATTAATGATCATTAATTAAAACAACTGCAACAGTGAAACAGAAACTAAAGAATGTCTAGTTTTGAAGAGAAATACAATTAAGAGTTGAACTCGAGTAGCTTGAACATGAACATTACCAGAAAATGAATCTTAATGAATGTCATTTATCTTAATCTAAATCATTCTCAGGACCTTTTGCTAAATAAATTGAAAATAATTATTTCATTTGAATGTTTTCTGGCAAACATTAGAACAAAAAGTTTAATATTTTCCTAGAAAATCATTTTTACTGTTGATTGTTGTTTCGGTAAAACAATTTACTTTTCATGTTCACAACAAAAGTGAATGGACAAGTTTTACGGTTGATAACTTTTCGGGAATTTTCACTCTTCTCTCGTTTACCTTGTTTCAGTTTTGTTGAGTTAAACAATCAAGGGAAAGATTGAAGTGAAGATGAAGAGGAAAAAACAGTTTTTTTCGCTTCTTCTTCTTCTTCTTCTTGCCTGCCTGCTTGCTGTTTACATAGTTTATTTACATTGGACTTTTTTTCCTTCTCGTCTCTCAGTTCACCTTTTATCATCATTCTGTCATATAAGTTGTTCATCTTCAATTTTTCTTTCCATCAAAGGAATTTGTGGCTTCATAGATATTTATGGTTTTGCCTTTGCAAGATTGATTACTTGTTATAAACTGCTTTCCTTCCCTGTTCACTCGATAGTCACCAGTCCATGTTTCATTGCACAGTTTTACATTATTAAAGTGACAATACAATTCTCGGCCAATTTATCAACATTCTTTCAACTCTATTGGTTATCAAGTTGAAAAATAAAACTTGATTGAAACTGTCTACTTACAAAATTGAGATTATTCCAAGATCTGCCGCTAATTTTGGGTTCTCAGGTAATTCATTCAAATGACTCAGGCAATTTGATTGAATTTAACGCATAAAAGTAGTCGAGACATTTTCTGATCAGTTTAGACAGTAAATTGAGATTCATTTTTTCCTTTTTTCGTCCAATTTGCATTTGATTAAAGACGATATTTTTAGAACCAAATAACTCGACATCTGTCTAACTATTAAAAATCGAATCATTAGTTTCTTATGCAGATGTCATGAATTTAAGTGGCTTTGATTTTCTTGAATTGCAAGGTCAGAATGCAAATGGTTAGCGAAAGTTAGTTTGGAAATGAAGCGACTTGGAAGTCCGAATTTCCATCTCATTGTTTAATGCCACGATTCAAGAACGCATTTTTCTCTGATGATGAGCGATTCTGTGCTTATGTTTCTCCATGCTAACTTTGAATCGTAATTCAAATTTTCTGCAGGAAACCTCAGCAGTGTTAAAATTTTCTAATTTTGCCGAAAAATTCTTCAATCAAGGTTGTGATTTACTCTTGATTGAAACACTGATTTGATTTCAGGAAAGCTTTTCGGTTTTTTATTATCACTGGCTATTCATTTTTATGATCCAAACATTTTTCCTTTCTTTTTGCAGTAATTTAATTTTAAAAGGCTTAGATTCATTGATAACATTGTCTAAAGCCATTGATATTTTTTATTTTGAAGAAAACTCTGACTCGAAATTCATTTGAGGTCATCTTTGAATACCATTTGAGAGCCAAAAGAAACAATCTTTTCTCGGAAATTCAAGCTTCTTATGTTATTTATATTCAGCGCGGAGTTTATGCATTCCCTGTCAATCCTTCAGAATTTGATAATAAATTTTGAAAATGAAAAGGGAAAAGGCGATAAAATTTGGATAAATTTTCTTGACTCTAGACTTTTCTGTCCAATTATTCAGGGGAAATGTTGCAGGACAAACTGAAAGTGAAAATTATTATGAAAATGAAATGAAAGAAATAAGAAAATGATAAAGAATAGCAATAATAAAAAGTAATAAGAATAATAATATGTATAGATATCATTATTTGGTAAGCATTGCGAATGGTTTTTCATAAGCAGCAGGAAAAAAGTTTTCAAATTATAGTTGAGCTGAGAAAAGATGAAAGAGAAAAGTAAAGGTCAAAAGAGAAGAGGAAAAGAGAGGAAAAATGTTGACCAATTCGACGTTTCTTTTCATCTTATTATTCCATCTAATACATTATTCCATATTATTCTTATAATAATAATAATAATGACTAAGTAATCAATCGAGAAATAAAGTTGAGAGGTGACACAGAATCTCAATTGAGTATCAACAAAGGTTAACGAG